TTTTTATTACATTTTTAAACCTAATTATCGTCTTTTTAATATTAAAGTAATCTACCTTTTTTTTTTCTTTAAGATTTTTCACTTTGATCGCAATTGAATTATTAAATTTGTAATTTTTTCTTTTCTATATAGAAACATATTTATTTTTTTGCTAACTAAATATTTGTACTTTTACTTTTTTATTTTTTTTATTTTTCGTAAATGTAAAATCACGCGTTTAAATTCAATTTTATTGTAACTTCAAATAGAAATTTGATAATAATAAATAGAGAATTCAATTTGAAAAGTGCATCTGCGAATTGGACGATTCATATGTCAGGCTATTGTATCTCACTTGATTCTATAATTAATATAGTTTTCTTTTTGTTACAGGTGATCATCGTTGGATTTAACAACAAACCTTTGGGATCTTTTTCTATTTGAATTCCTGAAATTGTTTCATTTTTTAATATATGTATAATGGCATTTCTGAAGGCACACACATAATTTTTTTCACTATGTATGAAATATATATATTTAAAAGTCCATAATAAATATAACATTGAATATATGCATATGTATATATATATATATATATTTGTAGATCTGTAGAGAATATGTAAAGGGCTAACGCACCATGACACTCCCGTAGAGAACTCTCTAAATAATTTTAATAATAATAGGGATTTAAGTATTAAGTTCAGGCCCCAAAATCGACGCGTTTTTTACATCCTATCTAAAGAATCCCTACACTTGTATGCATATATATATATTTATGTGCGTGTATGTGTATCTCCCGGACGTGTAACCCCTTAACACCACGAGAATAGCAACGATACGAGGGGACAAAAAGAGAGTTTGTTGAGTCTTCTTCGATCGTGGGAACGAGATCGTGGTTTGCCAAGCAAAAGAAGAAAAAAAGGCAAAAAATTTATACAAAAATAAAGATACGATCGATGTTTGAATTCTTCTTTACCGCTTTTCAACGTCGTTACGTACCGATTAAAGATTATTACAAATTTTCTATTTCAAACGAGAAATTAACTGAGAAAAAAATATCTCCAACGTGTTACACACCGTACTATATAATTAAATGTATTATTATTTACTTATTGAAAAATGTGAATCAATAATTCGTAAAGTATATAGCAGTTATAATATTTAGGCCAATCTTATAATCCACTTAGGATACTTTGAAACTAAGGAATGTTGAACGTCGGGGCGACCGCCCGTCGTGTACACATCGCACTTCGAAATGAAATCAAAATAATAATATACAAAAGAGAAAAAAAGCAAAAGATTCTTATAATTTAGAAATGGAAAATCGTGATCGTTAACGACCAAACGTTGCGATATCTCTCTTTCTCTTTATTTATTTCTTTAAAATGAAAGCAGATGCAGGAGGATGATAAGAGGTCGTAGACACTGGATCCGCTTAGCGAGAAAAAGGGAAACCACACACCCCTGTCATATATCGTGTGTTGCAAAAAAGAAAGAATAAAAAAAAAATAAAAAAGATAAATATAAAGATAAAGAGAGATGGGGATAAAGGAAAAAGCGCGTGGCCGCGAGAAAATAATTCGTCCCAATTGAAGCGGCCAGTTAGTACAATTATCGTTGACGGTGTATACGCTCCCTCGCGTTACTTGATAGCGTAATTAGTGTCGTCTAGCCGGTTGGCGTGTGAAACACGCGGCGGTAAACGCGAGCAATCGTATTAATCGTTAACTATCTTGTACGAGAGAGCGGCACGCCGCGTGCAACCTTTACTCTCTTCTTTTCTTTTTCTTCTTCTTCTTCTTCTTCTTCTTCTTCTTCTTCTTCTTATAAGTTTCTTACTCTTTCCTCTTATTCGCCATTACTATCGTTGCCATCGTCGTCTTCGTCGTCGTCGTCGTCGTCGTCGTCGTCGTTGTGGCAGCATAATAGTGACAATCGTAAAGTTAAAGCCGCGTCCAATTAATTTCTACTCTCCTGTAGCCCTTCTTACCTTCAACTTCTATCTCTATCTCTCTCTCATTCTTTTCTATTTCTTTCTCGTTTTCTTTCCATACTCTTTCAAGTGAGAAAGAAAACGCTCGAATCACCCTCTTCTTCTTCTTTTTTTATTTTTGTTTTTTATTCTTCTTCTTCTTCTCTGTGCCGACTCCGCAAACGCGTGGAAATTAATTCGACGACGTGCGAGCCAAGTCGAAGGTGCGACACACTCGAGACCAGCCGATACTTCGAAGAAATTTATTGTACTGCCGGATCGTGAGCTCGCAGTAACATAGAGCGTTGTTTGTCTTTTCTCTTTCTCTTTCTTTATTTATCTATCTTTCTCCACGCCAATGAAATTTTTTCCTCAGCCTAGTTATCTATTTTTATCATAAAAATGACTTTTCCTTAGTTATACTTTTTTGAATAAACCGCATTATATAATCTGAAAAAAAAAAAACATTAAATTAAATCAAGAAAATAAAAAGCAAAAAAAAATGTCATTAGAAACATCCGGCTGCATTGACCGTGACACGATATCAACCTCGCCGATCAAATTCGTCCTTGCTTATTCGTCGTATTACGTTCTTGGTCTGCGAGTGGAATTAAACGAGCGGCAAATACTAACTCAATGGGCTCTTTCGTAACTGCGAAATCGGATAACTTCGACCTATTTGCAGGTAGAAAGGACTAAATCTATAATACCTTGACACGCATAACTTTTTGAACGAAACTAACGACCTAGAAAAAAAGAAAAATTTATACATATATATATATATATAAAAATATTAAAAATTTATAACTGAATTAGCTTTAGAAACGAAATATTGAGAATAAGAAAGCAAAATAGAGACTGAACTGTAGGTATACATATTCGAAACTAGGATCCGCGTTGATCCTTTTCTCTTGATAAAAAAAGAAAAACAAAAAGAAGAAAAAAAGAGAAAGAGTTAGAGAGAGAAAGGATTGACTCTACGTGATATCTAACGGTACAATATAAAGTATATATACGTCGCTGTAACGTGACAGGAGATTCAATAAGGATACGATATGCCCAACGACGTCCAATAACTCAGGCTCTCGTTACAATGCAATCCTAACAATTACAAATAACCCTCGCACTGGCGTTCGCACGGTCGTTGATCGACGACGATATCCTCCTCGATCGTCTTGAGTCGCTTAGTCGTTCACAAAAGGTCCTTCCTTCCTGGTAAATAATCGTTTCGTGGAAGTCGTTCGCGATCCTGAAGCTCGTGTTGCGTTGTTGTTGTTAGCAGTTGAACGAACGGTTTCGAATCTATAAGATATGGAAGGGGATGAAATAATATAATAATAATAAAATAATAAAAAGAAATAGAACTTAATATAAAATACATAGGCGGACGTAAAATGCATCCGCGTACGACTGTAAGCGGAACAACTAAACGAAGATGAGGGTGACGATGAAATGGCGAAGAATCGAAAGACGATCGAACGGAGAAGCTCGTGTAATGGGCCATCGACTCCGTATTTTTCGTCGATTATAACCCAATCAATAAGCCAAGCCGCGAAAGTAGTGGTGGACAAGAAGGCTAATATGGAGCCAGGATTGCAGCTGGCCGTACGGTTTGCGCAATGCAGGATGCACTAATATGGTTTCGCGAGCTCCGATAGAAAGCGAGATACATACGTTATGAGCCCGTCGTCGCTTATTTTGCATACGCGTTGTGTACGCGCCAAGAGCAAAAATCTTTCTTATATTATATAAAGAAAGAGAAAGAGAGAGAGAATGTGTTTCGGGTCAACGGGCGTAGTTATTTTCACGCAACTTTTTCCTTTGTTTCTTTTTTCCTTTTTTTTTATTTTTTAATCCGATATATCAAACTCTTACGATTCCCCGTTATATCTCGATATATAAAAGTTCTTATAATAATCTAACGAACAAACAATGTATAATATATCGCTCATTGTTGAAAAAATTTTGTGTCAGATATAAAGGAAGAAAAATAAAGCTATACAAGAACTACTTTCCTTCCAATTCAATCCTTCCCTTTTGTAAATACATTTTCATTTACCAGTTAAGACAAACATAAACACACGACTCGACAGTTATTAAACACGACGAAATAGTCATTCTCCGAGAAAGTGGTCGAACGTTGTAACAGCGATTTATTTCCTTCTCCGATTAATTTGCGCTAGACGTTTCGAAGGACGAAAAATGAATTTCCATTAGAAGACATAGAAGTGAGAGTTAGTCGTATCGTCTCGTCTCATCTCATCTCATCCGTGTAATTACACCTGTCGCGAGAAACGATGAAAGAAAAGGTCGTCGTCGGTGTTGCGACAAAGTGACAACGGGAAACGTCGAAGATGACGACGAAGACGACGACGAAGACGACGACGATGGCACGATGCCTTCCTTCCACTTGGACGCTTTCGTTCAAGTCAACGGCCCTAAACTATAGGCGGAAGGGGCGGAAACGTCGAGCTGCACATAAATAAGTGCCTGGAAACCACAATGCCTTCTCAGAGACGTCGCGTGTGGGCAGACGAAGCGGTACAGACGCCTCTCTCTCTCTCTCTTTCTTTCTTTTTTTCTTTCTTTCTTTCTTTCTTTCTCTTTCTCTCATCTTCGACCTGAAAATCAATGTGAAACAATTTGACCGAAGACCTTTCGCGTGACATACCGTAAATCTCTAGTACGTCGAAGAAATCATTTTTACCTGTGTATTCTTTTCTTCTTCTTTTTCTTCTTCTTCTCTCGCAATTCTGATCTACGTTTGGACTCGTGTTCGAAAATAAGAGACAAACTAGAAAATATATAAGTTTATGTTTATGTGTATACTTATTATATACATTATGTATAAAATAAGAAAACTTTTTCAATTTATTATTATCCTATGTAAAAAAAAAAAAAAGAAAAAACTAATATGTATCACGCGTGATGGTTTCTAATATAGAATTCAAGTTGGTTATATTTTCTTTATTTATTATTTTATTCCTTTATTTTTCTCTTTCTTTTTTCACACTCGATCGAACATGTGAACGTATTTATACTTGAAATATTAAACTCGATGTCGTTTTAACACGCGTGCCATGTCGAATACCGGTATTCCAACGACGATTATTCCCTGTACTCGTAGGATCGTAAACGCTCTCACTCTCACCCAAGAGAAACGCTGAGGATATCGCTCGGTGATTAAACGATCATCGAATTACAGAGTTATGGAAGCAAGCACCAAGACGATTATAAGATTGACGATTGTAATAGAAATTCTCGGATGGGAGACTCGTTAAAAGCAAAAGCCTTATTTCTTTCGTGGAAACGACCTTACCTTTTACTTCCTGTATCCTTTTAGTAACACTACTCTTTTACATCCTTGAAAATTATTCTTCGTTTAAATTGCAACGCGTATGATGTTCAACCATGATGAGAATTTCTAAGAAAATCATATATAAATAGATTAAATAGACGATATATACTGAATCGAATAATTTTATTCTTATTTTTTTAGATTATTGAAAAAGTTGAATAATCCTAATCAGATAAATAGCAAATAAAAAGATTTATTTACGAAGTAATAATAATATATCTTTTTAAAATAGTTTAAAAATCATGTAAAATTTACGATTTTTCCAAGTACCTAAATATAATATAATGCATCTCTCTCTCTCTCTCTCTCTCTCTCTCTCTCTCTCTCTCTCGCTCTCTCGCTCTCTTAATAATTACGTTAATACTCAATAAATTTCTCTTCTTATTTCTACCATAAAAGTCGAAGCTCTTTTTAGAAAGCTATGTTACAGAAGCGTGATGGTTGCTATCATTTAACCAAGAACGCTTCATTCATACTTTTACGGGCCATTTACGGTCGCTTTACGTCGGCGTATCGGTCTTATCAGCACTTCTGTACCGCCTACGATTTAAAATGTGCCTCCTCGACGATGCTAGAACTAGTTGAAGAAAAAGAAGGAAAGATAGTGCACCGCAGGAAGTATATACTCGTATATTTACTTACTACCTGCAGCGAACAAACTCATCTCTAAACTCATACTATTCTCGATGAGAATTTAATAACGATCATCTTTGAAATCGATCCATTGCCACATCCTTCTCTAACGATAATGTTTTATACGGACTCCCCTAGACGATTCTTAGTACGTTGTTATTAGATCATAAATGCCATTCACAACTAAGCTTTACAATTGATCTTTAAACAACAATTAGAAATGTAATTAGGAGCTACTGTAAAGTTAACAACGATGGAAAAATATAAATGATGAAATACCCATGTATTTAACACGTTGAATGCAACGCTAATTTTATATTCCCCGTTCGTAGCATTAACACAAATTTATTAATATGCGTTACATATTATGTTGAAATATTATTTACAACAAATAAGTTAAAGTTTATTATCATGTGCAACGCGCATTTTTATCTTACTGCGGGGAGATGACCGGTGACCACCGTGGCATTCAACGTTTTAAATATATATAAATAAAAAATATAATGTAATATAAACAAATCTTTTTTACGAAGTAGATAAAAAAATCTTTTTATTATCCTTATAAACATTCGGAGAGTCTACTGCTTCATCTGTAAATAAAGAAAATGTATATTAAATAACACGCAGTTAAGTTACAAATATTACATATATATCATGTTGATAAGATTTCTAATTTTATGTTAATTTCTGATTTTATGCCAAGTATTAAAACGTTGATAAGATTAATGAAATATACTGGAGGATTATTAAAAGTAAAAGTCTACTGTTAATTTGAAATAAATCATAGAAAAGGAATGGAAGAGTGAGGGAAAAGATCTTTTTCAAATACTCGCAGATTATCGATATCTGCCAGATGTTCTCCGAGACTCTTCTTCCTTCTTATGTTGAAAAACTAAACTCCGTTATTTGCCTTTAACCTGAGAAAGCTATGATTTTTGTTAAAACAAAGTCATTAATATCGATGATCGACAGACTAAAAGATTGGTTGTGTGTGTGTGTGTGTGAAAGAACTTTACCATTAATCAAATATAAATTTCACGCAAACGAAGGAATAAATCGAATGATGATGATGATGATGATGATGATACTGTTCGTTTTAAGTCGTACAGCTCTCAAGTCCCGCGAACATTCAGGATTTATCCATAAGCTTTTTTACATCTTCTATGAAACATCGTAAAATCGTGTGGCCGACCCATTAACGTTTTACGATCACTTCTACGTATGGTAGAGGGTTTCTCCTCTCGATGACTCTTTTCGTGGAATCCTTGCAATGTTAACTGAACGTTCGCGATAAAGTATGTCGAACATGAAAAGAAAAACGAAACTATTATATTTTGTTTTCTTTCTTTTTTCTCGACGAAGTAGCTTCAAACTTATTTAACATAATTAAATCAACTTTTACGATATTCTCAATTCAATTCATTGAAATGATTTGTAATTGTATAATTATTTTTATTACAAAATAAAATCAGATTATAAATTTTGTGTACAAGTTAAAAAATTTGTGTATCTTTTGTTATTATGTCTTACCGTTCTGTAAAGAACCAGTACCATATGTGCGATCCCAATTAACATAAATAGCTAAATCTGATTGAGAAACACTAGGACGAACATTTTGTAGAGCTTCTTGAAAATCCTGAAGTGTTACTGGTGCTATCTCATCAGACGGTATTTCTTGTAACAAATTATACGGAATACATCTGATTGGTCCCATACTAGCTTCCGTACATAAAGTTTTCATATCGGCACCTGAATAACCGTCTGCTTGTTGAGCAACATCAGTAATATCTTCTTCTGTTACATTGTGTTTTACCGATGATAATAAATTGCGTATAATTTGTTTTCGTGCTTGCAACTCTGGTAATGGAATATAGAGCCTTTTAACAAGACGACGACGCGCTGCTTCATCTAATTCTTGTGGTCTATTAGTTGCACCTACGATTAAAATGCGATCATCTTCTGAAGTTGCTGCTCCATCCAGTTGTACTAAAAATTCAGTTTTAAGTCTTCTCGAACTCTCATGCTCGGTCTCTGATCTTTGAGAAAGCAAAGAGTCTATTTCATCTATAAAAACAACTGAAGGTTGATTAACTCTAGCAACAGCAAATAATGCTCTAACCATTTTTTCTCCTTCCCCTATCCACTTGGAGGTCAAGGAGCTCGCAGATATAGAAAAAAATGTTGATTTACTTTGCACTGCGATACATCTTCCAATCAATGTTTTTCCTGTACCAGGTGGTCCAAATAATAAAATTCCTCTTGGTGGCCTACGTAGACCGGTGAAAATGTCAGGCCTCAACATAGGAAATACAATGACTTCTTGAATCATTTTCTTAGCATATTCAAGTCCTGCTATGTCATCCCAAGAAACTGATGTTCGTAAATCCATGATTTCATTTTTTATTAACTCTATCAACTTCGGATCAATGTTTTTCAACCTTTCATCTTCTACATCTGCTGAATCACTTTCATTTTCTATTTTATTATTTTGATACTGCATTACTTTATTTTCCTCACGTTTAAAAGGACACACAAATGGAGATTTAACTGAAGATTTACCACCTAATGTCTTCTTTTGTGCTGGCTGCCTATTCTTTGAATTTTGTTGAATATTCAATTCATCTCTGGCAGTTTTGAATAAAGAAAGCCCATTTTTTAAACCTGCTAATTCCTTCTTATTACACTAATAAAACAACAAACAAAACAAAAATTATATTTCAATAAATTTGTATTAATATTTGTATAAATCATTTGTATAACTTACTTCTATGGGTTTGCTTTGATTACATGTGGAACTTTTATTGACAAGAGCAATTTTATTATCATTTGCTTTAATTGTTTCAAATTGAGGAGGACGTCTTTGGATACTACATTTTCTTTTTCTTGTATCTTGTGTCTTCCACATATCAACAATATCTTTAATATGTCCATCATTAATTATCTTTTCTTTGCATGCTAAAGTATTTTCATCTTGACATGGTAAACATTCTATCAAATCAATTGCTGTTTGTACATCGTTTAATCCTGATTTCCATTGTGAAGGATCATTAACACTTTCAACAATGTTTTCTTCAATTGAATTCCAATAATCCCCGCTCTTTTCTATTTGATGTTGACATTCTTTTAGGCCTTTTTCTAAAAGACACATCGCAACATCCTCAAAACCTCTGTAATTTACTAATTGTTCAAGTAATGTGATAAATTAAGAAATAAAGAACAGAGATATATATATTTAAAGAATATATACTTACGATCTTTTTGCTGCTAAATATTTCATACCAAGGCAACGACGTTCAACGTTCAAAATTTTAAATGGATCTTCATCTGATTTAGAAAATTTTAATTCTTGATAAGCTGCTAAAAAATTATTATATTCTTTAGTATTATTTTCCTTTGTATTACTACAAGCCATAATTTTAATAATAAGTAATAAATATAATTTAAGTTATTTTATAATTTCTACTATTATATGGTTAATCAAATTCAAGAAATATATAGATGACGATGCCTTATGCTTTTTTCGGTAACTGTGGCTACATCTAGCAGTGGACATAAAATTACGAAAGCATTAACCGGGCTATTTAAAATAAGAATATATTTGAATTGACGCGCCAAGAAATAGGTGGTCGACCACGTGATCACGTCTCGTATGCTGTTCTTTTTTTTTTTTTTTTGGTATTTGTGGCTACATCTAGCGGTGAACATACGATCTAAAAAAGTATTAGACCACGTGATCAAGTGCAGTATTCTGTTTTTTGGTATCTGTGGCTACATCTGGCGGTTAATACGCAAACTTCGAAAGCATTACGTGTGCGTGTATTTTGAAATAAGAATATTTTTCAATTTAAATGTCCAAATTGTGGGCCGAAAAATTTCTAGAAAAATAACAAAGTATAGTAGTGAAATGGATACAGTTTTATTGAGGACAGTACTAGCTGTAGGAGAGAATTTCAAGAAAATGCTGTAAACATTTATTCATTAGTTGAAATGGATATAAATTTTAATAATTTTTCTTTCTAATAAATAACAAGTATTTATATATAATAAAATATTATTTTCAACGCTAATATTTTATTAAAAGATATTATCGAAGTATAAAAAATATAATATATTTATACATAATAAAAAATGCATCAATTAAATTTGTTTTAAGTGTTCGTTGAAAGTGTTTTGTTACTTAAATTGAATGTAAGCTCATCACCTGATTCATCCGTCATTGAATTGTTCAAATTATATGCTTCCTCGAAAATGTTTTCATCTGTTTCAATAAATTTATCGGATAATTGACAATTGTTTAAAGTCTGCCTTGAAAATATTGCACTTAAATCTATAACTGAATATGCACTGGCATATAAGAATTTATCAACCGTCTCTCTTAAAGTATCATATGCTGATATTATTTCTCGAGAATAACTGTTTAGTATAGCTAAAAATGAAAAAAAAAAAGAAAAAAAAAGAAAAAAACATTAATTAAATACACACATTGTTAATTAGAAAAATGAAATGAAATGAATTGTTTGTTGTGAGTTGTACTTACACTTGTATTGAGGTTGATTTATATCAAAAATATGATGATAGTAAGAAATTTGATTGTACAGTTGAATATCTGAGTACTAAACCAAATAAATAATTTGTAGTATTTATATCATTGTCTTAAATGAAATATTGAAGAAAAATAAATGATAATACTTACAACTTTATGCATAAAAGCATCTGTGCATTTAGGACATTTAGGATACTTTCCCTGAAAAGATAATGGTATTTTTCTAGTTCTGTATGAACAAAGAGGATTTTCACACTCTATCCAACATTCATAATAAGTATCTATAAAAGATCTCAAAGCAAGTTGTATAGTGTTTTGTATGGCTTTATAATATTTCCATGGAGGCATTGTACATTCTGGATTAGAACACCTGCTTAATGATAGACGATCACCTTCAGCCTGTGTGAACATATAGTTTAATAATTATACTAAAACTTAATTGTCTCTTTACAGTAAGTACATTATTTTTCTTTACTCACAAATGAAGATATAACACCATTTATTGTGATTTCAGCTTCACATTTGTCATTTATACAATTAAACTTGAAAGGTAGGCAGTATTTAAATTTATCTTCATTTATTGAAATGGGTGCTTTAAGGTTGTCTTCTTCGCTGACTGTTGCTTTCGACTTATAAACGTTTTCTAAACCTATTTATAATAATAACAACGAAATGTTATATAAAGATAAATCATTTCAAACATTATGTAGTTTAAAAGTTATAACATAATTTGCAAAACTGTATAGATGAGGCAAATTGATAAGTACCTAAATTCCTGGCTAATAATACATCATCTATTCCTTCTATTGGTTCACAAATTCTTAATACAACTGGAAGTATTTGATTCATCAAATAATAATTAATATCAATTTTTAAATTATCCTTTTTTTTGAATTCATCAATATGATAAGCTCTTTCTGTGGCCGACTTATCAGTTCCATCCTAAAATAAAATAATATTGTTATATTAGATATATATAACTAGAGATTTAAAATGAAATAAACGAAATAATTGTTCATGTAAATGTGCATAAATACCTCGCATATAATATAAGATATAGTGTCACCAACTTTCCACATTCTACCACCATCCTTGTTTAATCTCAATGCAACCGAAACATGAGCCTGTTTTCTATCAGGATATTCATGAGGATTTTTGGAAAGTTGTTTAGTAACAATTAATGAAGATAAAGGCACTTTATTTTCTCGAACATTTTTGGAAACATTTTGTAAAATAGTAAAAATTTCTTCTACTCGTGTGTCGTTGGTTTGCTCGGAAAATAGTTGATTCAAAATTTTCCTACAAATGTATATCTACATTTATCATGTAATAAATGATTGAAACAACAAATGAAAATATGCATTTAATATACATACTTTCCAGTTTCACAGGCTAACTGACACCAATCTCTTCTAACAATATCCAAACCTTTGTGTTCTTGAGTTAGTTGTATTTTTCCATTTGGTAATTTAACCATAGTAACAGCAGCATATTTCTTCTTTTGTAAAAGTAATAAATAACGAAATACACCGTCAATATCTAATTCTACTTTTTTATATAACTTGTTAACCTCTTGTTTTATCTGTTAGATAAATATATACAATGAAATAAAAACTACAAAATACACATTAGAAAAATATCAAATTAGTTGATATTATACCTTTTTTCCAATAGAAAAAACTTCATCATAATCAAGAATATTAGTTTTTATCATTATAGAATCAGTATCGCCATAAATAACATCATAATTTAATTTTTCCACCATACGTTTTGTATCTTGCAATATTTCTCTACCCTTTGCTACAAACAACAAATCTTACGTTGAAAAATCTTATATGCTTTTTAATAGCGATAATAATACCTTACTTTTATTTGGACTTACTTTGATTACTTACATGTTATTAGAGCAGCTAATCCTTTAGCATAAAATCTACAATGTGTTGCACCTAAACATCCATACATAGAATTTGCAGTGAGTTTCAAAGCCATTTGTCGTATATTATATTGCATTTTTAACTCTGAAGAAATATTCGGTCTTTTCATTAATTTTTTTATTTCAACTCTACTCTCCACGAGTTTACGAATTTCTGTAGGAACGATGCCTGGTTCTAAACTCGAATCTGGTATTTCTAAATCCTACAAACACACATATTATATAAACAACTATATGCTGCATATTAAAATATATCTATTTGAAAAGCCCTATATATTGACCTCATAATCAGCGTATGCTGCACCTGGTACCGTGGTAAAACATAAATTGTACTCTTGTATTATACTGGGGTATAAAGAGTTAAAATCCATTAATAAAATCAACGTATCATAAAACCCTTTTTGTGCAGTTAAGACTAAACCACCCGCATAAGCTGCTTTTTTCTTTCTAGGATTATCTACGTATAAAGAAATATATTAATGCATATGCACATATGTATGCTCCAATGATTTATTAACTTTTTTATTATCACACAACTTACCACCCTCGGTGGTATCTTTTTTTATTTTTCCTTGCAATTTATCTGGTGTTATGTAATTTTTTAAATGGAAAGCATGTAATAAAAGATATTCATTTCTTTCTGCTCGACCAGCTGACAGTGTTCTTGATAAAATATTACCTGTACACAAATCATGAAATATAAATATATAATTGATATTGATCTTATAATTGATATTGAACAAAATCAACGTTTATATATATATATATATATATATATATTATATTTATACCAGCTATAGACGTAATTTGCAATGCAAGTGGTAATATATCAAGTTCAAATGTTATAGACAAAATATAGGATGCTTCCATTAATGTACGTTTTATGAGATTTTCCAGTTTTTCTACCGTTGTATAAAACAAAGGACATTCTCCAGGTTTTAATTCTTTGTATTCATTTTCATTTTGTTTTAATACCTAATAACATAAAACCATAAAACAAGACTTGATCAGTTAATTAAATAATATTAATTTAATAAATAATCTAACACAATATATAAATCACTTACTGCTATGCAAAGAGATTGCAAATCATAACTCCTGACTTTTAAATTTAATTCTTTGGCTGAAATTTGTATATCACAAAGAGAACGACCAGCGAATGCTTGACCCGTATTAATTTTTCCCTAGAAAAGAACATTTATTTGATAAGCTTATATTTTATAATTGTCTTTTTTAATACCAATCTTTTAATGCAAATAATCTCACTCACTTTAATAATAGGATGAGTACTACGTCTTAATTTTCCAATTCTACTCCAGTTTGATACTCGAAGATTAAAAATTCTATGCAACAAAACATCCAATTGAAATCCACAATCATAACCAATGCATAAATCTGGATCTACATTTTCTATTATTTTAAGTACTTCTTCGAGTAGATCATGTTCATTATCACATTTTATTATTGTGGTATATTTTATTTTTGATAGTACTCCTTGAGCTTGTCTTGGCCATAGAATATCTCGCGGTTTAGTTATAACTATATTAAACAAATTAAAACATTTCTTTATATTCATTTCTTTATATTGAAATATATTTATAACATATTAAGTACGGGGAAACTTACCACAAAAACTTTGTTCAAATAAATTTGGTTGTTTAGGCCGTTCCTTGTCAATATTATATTTACGACGAAGAAGAATTCCAACCATTACAACTTCATTTTGTTGCGATTTGGCATGTGTGGATACACGAACGTTTAACGTTGCTATTGTCATTGGAGGTATTGATAAGTTTTGAGATTCTGAACTAACAGAAATATTTTCCATTTTCATGCATGTAACCTATTAATTAGAAACACTCGTAATATTAAATGGATTAATAAAAATGTCGTCGAGACGAATAAACGAATAAACGAATAAACGAATTAATAACTTGTATTGAAGAAACATACATTCAATTTACACCAACTTGATTTTACTCCTGTAGGAATTGCACATTTGATATCCAACCAGCAAGGACCTTTGATATTTCTTTCTATAAGTAGAAGCTCTAAACTTCTAACTGTTGTTCCAAAAACTTTTTCTATAGCAGGCCCTGAATATCCTGAGTCAATAAGTGGATAATATGTAGAATATCTAACTTCTAAGTAGTCTGAAAATTTCGGTACATCTTCTTGCTCAAAAGCATAATACTTTGAAACTTGACTAGATTTGAATTCTTTAATTCCTACTTTATTAGCAAATTCATTGAACTCTTGATACACATCATGCATGGTAGTTTGTTTTTGTTCAGAATCGGAAGAATTTTTTATCTGAAATTTAGAAAATGATTCTTTCATAATTGTGATTTATTATTAAAAATGTCTTCATTTGACTATTTTTAAAGGTATGCAAGAAAACATTTACTTACGTATTCTCGAGGTAAAAGATAAATCCTTCTTGGAATATTTTTCACTGTAAGACAGCAAGAACAATATGTTTTGGTAGATGGAATATAAACTTTTCCAAATAAGTATACGGTGCCTGGCTGTTTATAAAAATCTTCATATGCATCCCACCAATAAAAACGAAATATTTCTTCCCCAGCTGAATTTTTAATAAATGGTATAGACACATCTGAATTCTCTGCAGTAACTTCAACATTTGTTGTTTGCATTCCAAAATCATCGTTCCATATTTCATTAAAAATTTCCTGATTTTCCTCCAATATATCAGCATCTTTGCAGAGTGTTGGAGATTTAATCTTAGTATGATTCTCAGCTTTTGAAGTCGTTGGCACTGATTCTTTCAAATGTTCACTTTCGTTTAAACTTGAATTTTCAAAATCTATTTCAGACAACTAATTCACAAAAATAATAACATAAGTATTTTGATGCATTTGTTTATACAAAATATTAAATAAAATAAAAACTCACATCTCCGACATATGCACTAATATCTAAACTTCCATCTTCAATTATTTGAGTGCCCGATACTTCATTCGTATTAGTAGTTTTTTCTATGCTTACAGGCTGAGATTCATCGCTGACATCGTTAGTAATTTCTTGACTTGTACTTTGAACACATACACCACCATTATTTGATGGTGTCTTAATACTTGGTGATTTGTTTTTACAATCGTTTTTGTTTAATGTATCAAAAAGTGGTTCATCATCGCTACTAGGAGTGTCAATGGTTAAAAGCATATCGTTGTTGTCACCTGTTGTTACTTTTTTCTTTTTCTCTGCATCTTGATTGCTACTAATAATATCAACATAAAATCCCATCAAATACACACACACACACACACACACACACATTGTATGTTAAAATAAATTTGACTAAACTTTAATTACTTACTTTTTATTTAAATGATATGTTTTGCAAAATTTATTTGTATTAATTTTCATATCAGGTACTTTTTTGCAATCTTCTTTTTTAAGTTCGCTCATTAAATCTCCTAAAATATCATCATCAACAAAAGTATTTTTACTTTTTTGATTAGAAGGCATTTGCATAAGCATATCTTGAATACTCCTTTTGCTTTTAGTAACATTCTTTTTCTTCTTTCTGGGTCCTGAAACACTATGTTTCATTGCAGTCTGAATACTGCTATCATCTAAATCATCATCGAAGACTTCTCTACCATCTTCTATGTAACCACTTCCACCTATAAATTGAAATATAATAATATCATGTTCTCTACGTACTAAAATCATATACTACAAGACTAATTACCATCATCAACAATCCAATCATCATTTTGGCGTTTAAGAACAGTTTTAGTATATTCCTGTTCATCGACTTCTTCATAAACATTTTCCAATTCATCAATTTCATATTTGTTCTTACTTCCTTTCAATTGCTTCAACTTTTGTAATGCTAAGAGACATGCACTTTTTCCAGGTTTTTCCCTTCTAGCTCTACCAGAAGGGGATTCTAATTATAACAAAGAAAATAATTAAAACAAATATATATATATATATATATATATATATATATATATATCATTGCCATTGTTTTTAATTCATTTTAATCTTAATATAGAAACAATTTTATTTATAGATATTTATATGTTTAATATGATTTACCTTGAGCCTCGCTCATTATTTACTTTGTCAATATTTAATTTTCAACAAACAATTATTATATAAAAAAACAATATCACATTCTTTGAATATAACATAGAAATGAAGAAAATCGTAAAAAATAAACGATAAATGGACATCCAACAAACTTATAACATCTTGGCGGGAAATACTTTTATATTGTTTTTTAATTGTTTCTTTATTGAGTTCCATATGTTCCATGAATTAATCATTTGTAGTAGATAAGACATCTAACAAGAAAATAAGAAAATGAAGCACAAGTGCCCTCTGTAAATGTTCACATGAAATACTATTCTATAATTCGATAATTTGTCCAAATTAATTTGAATTAATAATAATTCAAATTAAATATATATANATATATATATATATATATATATATATATATATATATATATATCATTAATAACTATCATTTAAAAATAAATATCTATATGCAATTATTAATTAAATATTACAAAATAAACTAAAGAAGAAAGTTATCGCCATCTAGTGTTATGGAAGAGTATTAATTCAAACAATCTGTCAAATTCTTTCTTGACAAAACGTCATACTTAGATTTTTTTATATTCACTTATTTTGTACTTCATTGAATTACTACACAATTAAGAAGAATGTGTTAATGATAAAGCATTATCAACAATAGATTTTTTAAGTATCGTATCATTGCAATTGTACAAAGTGTAAAATTGTAAAATTGTAAACTAACAATAAAACATAGCGATTTTAGCGCACCTATGTATTATAAGAAAATAATTAAAATATTTTCTATATATATTACTTTACCTTACAACGTATATCTATAATATTGTGTTTTTGTACATTCCATTTATTTTATCTCTATACAAAAGTGTCTAACTTTGAACATATCGTGACAGTAGGTATAAATAATATTTTATACCAATGTCCTGTCAAATAAAAACAATTGGCAATTTGAAAGATTTGAACAAAGTCAGGGAAATACTTTCTGGAGATGCTGTTACTAGATGTGAGTTATTTTTATTATTCTTTTGTCTTATCAAAATAAAGACAATAGAGAATACTTCTATTTGAAATTGAATAAATATCTTGTATTCTTTAGCTGAACCTGTTGCAAGTCATGAATTACCTTTACAAGATTGTTTCATTTCACTTTCATCTGCCGGTGATGTTCTTGCACTGGCACAAAATACTAAAATGATCATACTGATTTGTAAGTATAATAATGATGGAATATAAGATAATGAATATTCATGAGTATTCATTCGATGAATCATATTCTTTTAGCGAAATGGGATTCGCAGGAGCCAAGTGAATCAAAAAATAAATTTCATATCGTATGGAATGGAATAGTTACAGAAAATCAAAAGTAAGTATTTAATATGAAAAAGAACAGATCTCATGTATTTGATTGATATTTATAAAGATAATGAAAGTATTTATTAAATGATTTTTACAGCGAATGGATTACTTCGATAATATGTTTACCTCTGATTTCACTGGGTAAAATTAGTGCAGGTACCAGTCCTGATTGGACATGCATCGCTGTAGGATTTAATAATGGCATTTTGAGATTTTATACAGAAGTAAGTAAGTTAATAATGTTCTCCTTGTTAAAATGATAACATTAAAATGTTTGTTTTATCACTGAAGACAGGTGCATTATTATTAGAACAGCAGCTTCATAACGAGCCGATTCTTGGAATAAAATGCCAGTCATCTTCTTTTCATAGACACTCAATGAATAAACAACCATTAGAAGAATTGTATATAATTTATAGAAGTATTATATGTATACTGCAAGGATTTCCATTATTTACAACTTTACGTGCATGCAGAAATCATTTAGCTAGAGGTATATGTATATATTATCGTATTATCGTATTGTTGTATTGTGTATATTATATTTTTTACATTTTCCTTATTAATATTATTTCAATTGCAGTACAAGCTAAATGTAACGATGTATCTCCAGCTACTACCTTGTCGTACAAGAAATGGGAATTTAGAAATCAAGATATCACAAATGATGCTGAAATTATTGGTACAACATCTGTAAACAGTTTTAATCATTTAATGACTGCTTCCTTATGTGGTGGTTACAATGCATTATATAGATCTAGTGCTCCACAACACAATCTTGTTATGGCTACTGGTAAAAGACCATTCATTGGTTTTCATTATGCATTAGAAGGAGGTAATGCTCCTGTTTTATCCGATGTTGCTGCTGCAATGGCCAGTAAATTGGTAAACGCTATTGGAACAGCTGTTCCGTAAGTACTTGTTCATTTATATAATATTATATGATAATAAATAATAAAAACAGCAATATATGTTGTGAACAGTTGGTTTAGAAGTAATTCAAAAACTTCTGCATCACTTGACATTTCTAAAAATAATGGTCAAGAGTCTACTGAAACATTGAGCTGTAGGTACAGCATAAGTGACCTGATGAGAGAGGGTGACTCGATTGTTTGTAGTCCAAATAAGATGTTATCAGCTGTAACAGATGCAATGGGTAGAGTAACATTAGTAGATAATAAAAGAGGTGTTGCAGTAAGAATGTGGAAAGGATATCGTGATGCACAATGTGGATGGATTGAAGTTGAAGAAATCAAACACTCTGGAATACATAAAAGTTCTAATAGAAATGCACGTACATCAAACAATCGCAACACATTGTTTTTAGTTATTTATGCTCCAAAGAAGGGTGTAATAGATATATGGGGAATTCAACAGGGTCCCAAAATTACAACCTTCACTGCCAGTAAAAATGGACGGTATGTCTTAGCTAAGTTTACTTTTGATTATATTGATTATTGCTTTTCAAATTATTCATACCAATATATAATTATATTTATAATAATAATTCTCTAGACTGCTGTATATCAATTATGGCCTGCTAGGTATGAATGAAACTGCAAACTTAACCAAAAATGATGCACAACATGCTTGTGTATTTATGGATCCCCTTGGAGGATTAAAAGAAATAATTGTTCCGTTTCACTTTGCTCTGAGTAGTAAAAATGCTAAAAAAGCATGCGATATATATCTTCTTCGTAAATTGAAAAATTTTCTAAGAGAGGAAGATTTTGATAAGGAGAAATTAATTACAGAAGTTCGTAATGCATGCTTAGCTATGAAAACAAATGAAGTTAAATTGCAAACATTGGAATTATTAATGAATACTAAGGATATCTTACCTGATGCATTACTAATTGCTGTTAATTCTATTGATAAAATGTTCGATGAATCTGGTATGTTAAAAGCACACACACATTTTATAAAGAATATTTTATTACTAAAATTATATATCTAAAATATAAAAAAGAATTTAATTTATAATTAAACAAATTAATCTTTTATAGATCCAAATATGATGGATTCAGTAGCAAAAGTTCTACATAAATTAATTGTGCAATTACAAAAAATAATAGCATTTTATATATTCATTAATAGTTGTAATTTAGAAAATACAGTAAAATCAATTGATTCAACTGATAATGAAAAATCAAATATTGAAATGCTAGCTTTAACATTGTTAATTTCTGAACACGAAGTTGATAGAATATTAACGTTACATAAAACAATATATGATATAGGAAATGACAATATTAAATCGGAAAGTAAAGTAAAATTTAATGATAATGAAAGACAGTTTTTTAATTTTTTAACATGTTTTGATTTTGGTGTATCAAATTTGGCAGTTTTACAAAAAGATATTACATTAGAAAAAAAATACCAAATTGGTAAGTATTGATGTTAATTCATTTTCTCTCTCTTTATATATATATATTATATGAATTTATATAAATGGCATGATTCACATATAAATTATTTTGTTTCATGTTTCATTAGAAAAAAACTATGTATGTTTCAGCTGTATTGATTTTTGAAAAGTGTATGACTTCCCATGAAACTATTGAGACATGGAAAACTGCAGCTGCAAATAGTAATATTCAGCCAAATGTTTTTATGCAACTTGCATTAATTTATTGGATGTACAAAGAGGATGATAGAAATTTAGAATTAACATTGACACAATTCACACAGTTATTGCATGCTATATGTTCTTTAAATAGTAAGTATCAAGATATTACATGAAAAACAAAAACAAAAAAATGTATATAAATAAATTTATTTATAAATGTTATTTTTTTCTTTCAATAGGTATAGAAGAAATATGTGTAGATTATAATGAGAGTTCTTTATGGTGGAAAGATGTACGTACTGTTTTAACTGAATCTTTAAATCCTTTACATGCATATACAGCAGCATTAGCATGTAGAGCAGTTGCTGTAACATTAGAAAAATATAAAGACAAAACATATAATACTACAGAAGAAACTTGTGATGATGATGATAATAATAAGAATGATACTGATGATGATAATGATCCACAATTAAAAGTAGACAAAAGTAGTGAAAAATCTAATCTTGTAGCACATGAAGAAGTATATAGTTCTATAAATGAATGGGAAAATATAAGTAAGGATACATGTCAATTCTCTTTACTAATAGGAAATCTTGAAGATGTTATGGTTTTAAATGCAGTTGTAAGGTAAAAATAACAAAAATTCTATATAAAATCTAAATATAATAAATAAGTATTATATATATATATGAAAGTATTTATTACTATGATCAAATATTTTAGGCAACGACTTTTGGGAGATCCTCCAAATGACTTTTTTAAATTACCTTTTGAATTGCAAAATATTTCTTTGGGAATGATTTTATCTAATGGAAAAGGTTATAATAATATTGTATAATTTTGTTGATATAATGTATATTATTATAGAGTAATATAAGTTGATGTATGATTTTAGGTTCTGTTTCTGAAATTGTTGCAAAATGGTTAAGTTCAACAGGCGTACATCCTGCACAATTGGTAGATTTGACTGACATCGAATTTGAACAATCTAATTTGGAGGAGAATGTAGTACCTGAAAAAGAAATATCTACTGTTAATTTACAAGAGGATGCAATAGTATTATCTTCTTCACCTGTAGTAAATCAAACGGAGTCAAATACAAATGCAACAGCACAAGCGTGGGTGCTAGGCAAGATATAATTTGCAAACAGTAAGATTTGATGTTATAATTTAATCTTCAAGTGACATTTTTATTGTTTCTAGAAAAATTGTCTTTGTTGAAACATCACTTTCCATATAGTTTAACAAGCAGCGTACTTCTTGCAAATTTATGTTGGGAATTTGCTATGGCTTGGAATAAAAATGTCTCGAAATTAGAAAATCTTGATGCAGCTTTAACTGTTTTGCGTCACATACCTATGAAACACATGCAACATGGTAAAAATTGTATTTTAAATTTTATGCACGTATATATAGAACAATGATTATAATCATTTTATGAATGTTAAAATAATAAATATTATAAAAAAAGGTGTCTGTTGTCTCTTATGGACATTATATATAAAAAAAAGGATGGAAGCAGCTGGAAAAATCATGAATAAACTAGGTAAACTGCCAAAGGAAAGATTATCTTTACAAGAAACTGGACTTTCTGACAAACAATTAATTACATTTTTGGAATATTGTGTTACATTTTTTGATATATTCAGCGATGTAAGATAATGATTTATCTATAACTATTTACAAATGTAAATTTTTCTTATTAAATAATGTATATTTTGTAGGCTGAATTGCTGCAAACAAATACCGTGTTACTTAAATCAGAAGAATTATGGGAAGGTCAATCTGGACCACAACCATTTGCATTTTCAGCTCTATTACAAACACCTGCATGGTATGAATTAATTATCCTACATTTGCAGATAGCTAATGTTTTATATATGATGGCAAATTTCAACCTGAAGATATCAAAGCCTCTAAATAATTTATTTGAATCAGTGGTAAGAATAATATACATATATACAAATTTTATTGTTAACGTAATTAATAATTATCAACAAATAGATAATCGTGTTTATTATTTTTCAGACTCATCCATACTTTTTTCAAGATATATCAGATAAAATAATGTTTACTTGGAATCACGATGATAGAAAAGATAGCTTACGTTTAGAATTTTTACGTCATGTAATTACAGCTTCCATGGATTTCATTCATCAAGAAACTGTAGATGGTAAAACATTAAGTTCTACACAAGCTGTACTTTGGATGAGCAGGTGTCAAACACTGGGTTCTATGTGGAAATTAAATAGTGATGAATTAAGAATTCATCAAGCTTGTCAACTTTATATCAATGGATTTGATCGATTAGCAGAAGAGGTTTTTAATAAGAATAATATCATTATTTTTTTTCTTCTAACTTTATAATAACATTTTATTATAATATATCAGACTACCATTTGTAATATTTAATTAGGTTGTTGGAGCTGTGAATGATACTGATAAATTAGCATCAGATTTATTGCCTATAGCTGGAAGAAGAATGATGGCATATCTTTCAAAATCACCAGATTTATTAGAAGAAGTTTCACGAATAAGTACAACACTTCATAAATATCTTGAAAGTTTAGTAAGTTCATATTATTACATATATATATATATATATAATAAATAGTTAGAAAGAGAGAGAGAGAGAGAGAGAGTATTGTTAATATAATTTATATGCAATGCTTTGTTTTTTTTTTTTATAGAATATGTCAGAATTAATTCTAACTAACTGTTCCAACAATGATACCATAGAATTAATTCACAAAGTATCGAGATATTTACCTGACACTCACTCTGAATTTCATGTAATACAACGGATGTTAGATGCTACTTTTATATTTCAAGATAAAACGTAGTGTTGGATAAAATATTGACATTGTGAATAACTAGGTCATACTCATGGGTTGTTCGTATTGCAAATGTTTTATGTTTCTTTACATTACAAATAATATAAAGCAAACCTAATGAAGCTTATATGTATATTATATTTTATTTTGCAGATTATATTATAGAAATAAAGTATTATAACCAGTAACTTTCAAAATGATAATCTTTCGTAAATGATTATATTAATTAGACAAAATTGACATTGGCAAAACTTTAAATAGAAGATTCCTAAATTGAAATGAACGTCATTTATATAGAATAAAATAAAATCAAAAAATATATATCTTCACTTGTAATATTAACAAGCTTTATTTTTCACTTTTCTTTTTACATTATTTTACAAGATTGATGCCAATATATACATACTTCAAAAATTCAATAATTCATATAACAAGGAATATAACTTTTAATTTAATCCTTTTTTAATTCATTTTAATTTGAAATAAGTAACAAATGCATATAAACCTGTCCAATGAAATATTACAAAGATATTTTTTTAACATACTTAAATATGTTTATGCATATTAATGCATAATGTGTATTTTTATTAAAAAATAACATAAGTAATGTTAATTTAATGTGTGCAATGTTTAATTATTTAATGTAAATAACTTATAATCATTTTACTTAGAAGTCTTATATCTATCGTATAAATAAAACAGTGCTTCTTTTTAATATATTTGTAATTTATAAGTACCAGAAGTAATTAATTAAGCAATATCATTACTTTATATTACTTTTTTACCAAAAAATAAAAATACAACTATTAGATATTTTTTTGTATCCATCGTAAAGCATTTCTAACATTTGAAAGAGTAACTCTACCAAGAAAACTTGCAATCAATTGATATTCTGGCATTGTGCGTCTTCCACATGAACGTGTTGATAACAATTGACGATAGGAACTTTGTTCATTTTTATCATTTAAAGTTCTTCTCAATAATGGTGAGCCATTGTGACCTTCGCATAGAACTTTGGTTGTCAAACATAATAGCCATTCCATGATCTATAAAAAAACAAAAATCATATCAATAAGATATCAAATTTTATATATAAATAAAAAAGATAAAAGAACATACTTCATTACTAGAAGGTACTTTGCTTTCGTTTCTGAACCATGAACTAGGTGCCCATAAATACAATTGCATTATTGTTGCTGCCATTTCTACGGTATGTCTCTATAATCATAAATTAATTATAAAATAATATATTATGCTATTATATTTTTCTTTAAATATAATTTGTTTAAAAACAATTTTAGTATCTCACAAACCTTGGACAAATTTTTGGAAAGCATATTATTTATTAAAGCAACAATAATATTTGGAACATCATTTGAAAATGAAGGAAGATGCTGTTCTTCATAATTATAATTTTTAAGTAAAGCGTGTTTATCAGAACTTTCAAGGAATGGATTCTTTTCACCAAACATTTCATAAGCTATAGTGCCTGCAGTCCAAAGATCTGCTTTAGTGTAATTTATACTTGTGAAAGGCCCCGGTTTTGCTGATATAACTTCTGGTGCCATTAATGCTATGTTACCACCTTTGTCAACGTTTTCTGTATTATAAGGCATGTATAAGCCATAATTTTTGTCGGCTAAACAACAGCCAAAATCGGTGAGTACCAAAGAAGGGCAATTATCTGTTTCCTCTGATAAATCAAGTAGTATATTATCACTTTTCAGGTCCCTGTTATTATAGAAAAGAAATAATAGATAAACTTCAATCGTATCGTTTTATCGTAAGAAATAATGATTAATGAAATGATTCAATCTTATACTTTGTATATCCAATGTAATGTAAAGAAACATCAAATTGTTATTACAAAGTTGCAAAAGGAATAGCAGTGTACCTGTGTGCAATTCCGTGAGCATTTATATGAGCAATTCCTTCCAATAGCTGAGCCAGTAATAATATTGATTCGCGTAAACTCACGTTGTAAGTGGATAAATATTTTTTCAAAGTAGTGTTATACCTAAAATGGATCGTATAGTCCGTAATGATTGTTCAAAAATTGCAGTATATTAATATTTAATTTAATTTCAGAAGTAAATACAAACCTTTTCATCAATAAAAAAAGACTCATATTTCTGCCAGATCCATAAGGATTAATACGTGCTGGTAGAGCATCAGGATACATTACATTCCATCCGGGTAATGCTGGAACTCTATCAGCAAATACATAATACATTACAACAATATTAGGATGGGGAGGCAATAAAGACATATTATCAGCCATCCTATGTTCCCATTCTGCTAATTCTTCGTTGTTATAACGATTCCAGGCAGGAATAGTTTCACGATACATAGCTCTAAGTATTGTTGTCGCATTGGATTCTGCATCATAGTTGAACATCATTTTTAATGCCAAAGGAAATGAATATTCTTCTTCATTTTTGTCATGACTATTTTCTAGTTTTGATATTGTAGGTACAACATGTGTAGTTTCTTGAAATCTTGCCGAATAGACGACTGCAGAACAACCTTTATCAATAATAGGACCGATTTTCAAATCTTTTAAGCTGATACCATTTTCATTGATTCTCACAGCATCATAATTTTTATCATTTTGTGGCATGTTCCATTGCAATTTTGATATTGCTTCCTACAAAATAATAGAAAATATCTCTAAAACTTCTATAGAAATAGAAATTGAATTGAATCTATAAAATGTATCATACACGAATTTCCCAGCAAACTCCTTCCAATTCATCATCTTTAGTCAATATTCCGCTTCCTGATGCTAAAGATGTACCAACGAGCGCAAAAAATGGAGCAGAATCACCAAACACAAGACGTCTAGCTGCACGTTTACGTAAATCAGCAGCAAGCCTGCTTGTGACTCTTTTTAAAATATTATCAACAAATAAACGTCTTGCATGAGATCCCAAAAATCCAAAATGATGATTTGTTACGGAGACATTATTGATGTTCCCTTGGGACTGAGGACCCAGGGATTTGCCTAAATTCATTAAAAAACAATAAGATTAATCTATTACTAATATTATTAGCAAGGTGTTCATAAGTATACTGGTCTCATTCATTCTAAATAAATTACATTCTAGAAAAGAATAATACGTATAAGAATTGAATATTGTTTATGTACTATTTTCCATTTCTAATACAACAAATAATTTGTGGAAATTATTATTTAACGTGTGAGTAATATATTGCATACTTGTAATACAGTATTAATAGAACTATATGATCATAAATATATAAAAAATATATAACTGTTGAAAATTTAAAATTCTCATTCAAATTCTAATGACCTTGATAGTATACTTATTTAAAAGGAAAGAAAAAAATACATGCATAGTGACTACTTACCTACTTGCACAACGTGTATCTTGTTGAGATAATTCTTTGAACATTCGTTAGAATAGAAATTTTCTTTGTTTTTAAGGGCACGTAGTAATACCCGACCATTTTGTATAAGACGGTGAGTTGCCGCCCGAATCGACATTTCTCCGGTCTCTTGGGCTGAAAGAGCCCAACGGGCTAATCCACCAGAATACAGATTCACTTTGCAAATCAAATTTGGCAATAAACAATATTGTTTTACAAGAAAATCTCTATTGTATTACTATGTAATATGTCAAAACATCACGCTTACATTTCACGGTTCGTTCGTTACGTCTTTATTACGTCGTTGAAATTGAAGAAAATTTAATATATATAGGTATATATTTTTCTATACACCACCAGATGTTTGTATTTGATTCATTCAAGATCGTAGTTGCAAAACAGAGAGCCACGGGGCAAGACAACGTGCCTTATTTATGTCAACAAATATTTATTTATTAACTTTCAATCATAAAATGTCAATATGTTGTTAATCAACAAGTTTTATTATTTGTATACTAGAAAAAAAAACAAAATTAATTAATAGAATAATAAGTTTAATTAATAGCATTAATTTTTATTTATTATGTCATCTTTGACATATCAATGTTTTGGAAACAGTAGTGCCACCTGTACAAAACTATGTACATAGTTTATCTACAATTGTAGACAAAATAATTGTTCTTTATTTTATAGTAATATTTATTTACTTATTACTAAATCTCACTTATCATATTATTATTATATATTATATTTTTAATGATACAAAATGAATATAATTAGTTTAAAAAATACTTCATTCAATAGTTTATGTTTTTGAAATACTTGTGTATTACAGTGCGGGAAATTTTAGTACAGTATTTGAATTTAACTGGTAACAGATTTAGATTTTTTGTTATGGTATTACAATAATTATCATAGTAGTACATTTATTGTTATTATACAACGTTCTGATATATATATGAAAATCCATTTAAAAAAAAGCATAGCAACTATTGATATTTTTGTTCTTCTGTGCATTAGTACGTACATAAACCAATTTCATTGAATTTATCCAGAATGATACCTATAAGATCTTGCATAATATGCAGATTTACTGTCAATTGGATTGCAATTAAAAAGTGCATCGCCTCGTGTTCCATCAGGACAGGTACAAACAGCAATATGACGCCTTGGTGAACAAACAGCATTTGGTCCACACTCATGACCAGTACATGGATTTTGACAAATAAAATCTATGCAGGCTCGATTATCAGGACATTCGTTATCATTAAGACACTCTCCTCGCTGACATGCTTGTAGAGCATTACCGATATAACCAGTAGGACAGGTACAAACTGGTCTTTCTTTACCTGTATTATCATGACCAGGAGTACAAATTGCGTCTACACCGCAAGGATTTGGTTCACAAAGATCCCCTAAAAATATAACGAATTATTACTTAAATGCTTATATTATAAACAATATTTTAACAATAATGCTTTTGAAACTAATTACATACTTGGTTCAAAATTTCTGCAGTACAGAAAAGGATTCCCTGTCATATGTTTTGGACAACTACATACAGGAGTAATACCACGTAAATTACAATCAGCATTTACTCCACATACTCCATCACAAGGATTTACACATTTCTGATAGAGACAGGCAGGTTTATTAATTGGACAATCAGAATGAGCAGTACATTCTGGATGGCAAGAAACATATGGATTTCCTGACCAATTCTGTAAAACCATTAAATATATATTATTATTATTATTATTATTATTATTATTATATTTAAATAATCAACAAACTTACATGCGGACATGTGCATTTGGCTTGATGATCGACAACATCGCAGTTAGCATTTTCACCACATTTACATGGACTTTCACATTTGAATAAGGATGAACACGTTAGGTGATTAGGACATTCATAGTCATTTTCGCATTCATGACGACAACCAGTTAAAGGTGATCCCTTATAACCAGGAAGGCAAGAACAAACGGGTATCTCATTTCTTACCTCACATTTTGTATTTTCTCCACATGGACTAGGCTTACATGCTGCTTCTATATATGAAATTAATTTAAATTACAATTAAATTAACAGTCAAAATAATGATAAGTATAAAATTATATTCATATACATACGAGGATCAGCAATATGGCAATTATTAGAGGGATTGCCTGTATATCCAGGTGGACAATAACATCGGGGAATGTGATTTCTAGTCTCACATAATGCATTTGCACCGCATAAACCAGGACATGGATCAACGCATTTATTATTTATACAAGTTTTAACTCCAATACAGTCTTCATTAACTAAAATTTAATTTATATTTTCAATATTTTATCTACGAAAGTAAGTAAATGCAATTGAAAAAAATGCACATTTCTAAGTTCTGTTGATTATTTTTCTAGAAACGAAATTAGCAATAAGTATAATTTAATTAAAGTTAAGCATTTTATTTTGTGTTATTTTATTAATGTAATTTTGTAATCATATACTCACTTAAACATTCGACGCGTATACATTGCGAAAGAGGATCGCCCATATGAAGATTGAGACAAGAACAAACAGGACGCCCACGACTCATCGTACATCTTGCGTTAACTCCACAAGTGTAGGTATCACAACCAGCTTCGAAATACAAAAGAATTATTTTATAAAACATATTTTTAATATTATGTTGGAAAAAGAAGAATAAAAAAAAAGAGAGAGAGAGAGAGAGAGAGAGTTGTATACCAGATGTAATTATCTTTGATTGCAAGTACTGTCCACCGTTGACCTTTATGGTGAATGCTACCAGTAATATTATTGAAGTTCGAAAGTATTTCATTTTTTAAATTTATATTTTTATACAAATTTAATATAATTTATAAAACTTATAGAATAATTTAAATTTTTTCAGAATTGATTATGATACAAAAAAAAATCCGATGATCGATGTAAAGATCTTACGGAAGATCCGTGCACAATGAGCAAATGCAGAGAATTGAGGAAATAACACGGCGATCAGTCCAGGTGATAGTTTCAAATGAAGACCCCACTTTACGTAAACTTTAATACAACTTCGCCCGCGCATAACCCTGAGGTACGTTCGTGGAAGAATGCGTATTATATTAGCATAATTTGTTCCTGTTATACGCCTACAAATATTTTTAAATATTATCCAGTATTATCAGTAATATATTAAACGAAGATCCCACTGATCTATCCTGTTCAATATACGACTAAATAATGTAAGAAAAACAGCTATTTAGTTTTTTATTTAAACAAAAATCAACTACTTGTAATATTTAATATCCAATATTATTTTAGATTCATATTGTCTATATTCCTATGTTATAAATAAATACAAGTAATAGGAATACATTAGACGAGCAAATATATCTATGAATAAATGAAAAATAACATCATTCTAATAATATTAAATATAATTTTTATAAATCTAATGCAACATCATATATTTTAATTGATATTTATAAAATCTTTAGAGTTTGCATTTTTATAATATTATAATCATCAAGATTATTTTGTTCATTTTAATAATTTATACAATTTATTGTAATATGGAAATAACCAGTTATTCTTCTCAAGCTTGATTTTTGTTTCTACATTATGGTGCGATTCCGTAAAAAGCAACTTGCATTCGAGGTCGCGCTGAATCATTTCAATGACGCATTTTAATATGGCAAAGGAGAAAGATATCAAAGGAATAAAATTTCTTTTAGATCAAATGTTTACTTTGTTGTAACTATTTTATTTAAGATTAATTGGGGGAAATAATTTTCCACGATTTTTTTCTAAAAAAAAAAAAAGCATATAATCAAACTGTTGTAAATAATAAATATTTCAAATATGTTTTATAGTATACAAGTTAAAGTATAATATAATATTTTGAAATTAATTAACTAAATTAAAAATGCTAAAAGATTATACCGTATATACGTACGGTATATAATAAGTAATATCAAAATTGTTGTACAAATAGAATAGAAAAGAAAAAGAATAAAGAACTGAAAAATATAACAGTTACCTATTCAACATTTTCAATAATTTGCATAATTATATGTATTAAATCTATACAATGTTAAACGTTTCGAAGCTAGTCAACGTTTTTGGTAAATTATATGACTACTGTTTTTAAGCCCACGTCATAAATATGCAAAGACAGTAGGTTTTTACCTTTCAGAATTAATATATAAATATAACATAAATTATTTTCGATACGTCAAATATAACCTTATTCAAAGATTAAAAATATTTGTATACTAATATTTATAGAACAATCATTAATAGTGTTCTTGGATACTATAAATGTTTTTTTCCTTTCTTATACTAACATTCACTGATGTACTTTATTTTCAATATTTTTGGGTAAAAGTTTTAAGAATTCTTCATAGGCAGTATCAAATGATTCGTCTTCTTCCTCATCCAATAATTCTTCTAACTCGTGATCTAGCTCTCTGAAATTTCAATTTAATAACGTTAATTCTTAATAAAATGACTACATATATATGTATATATAATATTTGCATTGCATTGCAAAAATATCAATTAAAATGTTTATCATCATCATCATCATCATCATCATCATCATCGATTAATAATACATACTCCTGTTTTTCAGAGTCAGAAGCATCTGTTGCTGCATCTTGTAAGAATTGACTTTCTTCAGCAGAAAGTACTTTACCATCAGGACCATACAAAACAAGTTCATTATATTCATGCTGTATTTTAGGTTGATGTATGGGTTCTGATATTGAATTTTGACTGGATGTATTATGGCTGCTTTCTCGGCCCCAATTTCCATTACGCAATTGATGCACACTATCGATCATACGACTCACACTTGTATCTGCTCTTCCTTCTGTAACTAATTGTGTTAAAGCACGCATCATATTTTCCATTTCTTTTCGACGACCTCTTTTATCTCTTTCTAAAGTATGACCTGCCAACTAGAAATAATGGAAATTAAAATCAAAGTAAAATCAAATTAAAATACCAATTATTATTAGTTATCTATTTATAATTAACATACTTTTAGTGCTTGACATATATGTTTAGCAGAATTTGATCCTGGATTTTTCAGAACAATTGAAATAAGTTGTATTAGTATTTCTCCTAATTCAAAAGCAAGTACATCGCCCATTTGGACAACTAATTCTGCTAGGAATAATATAAATCCGTGGCATTTGATCTGTTCCTCTTCGGTATGTTTATCATTTTTTTGCCAAGTAGCAGCATACTTCTGCGTTTTCTCCTTACATCTATTTGAATTATCAAAATAATTAAGATATAAGAAAATAATTTAGAAATGTATAAAAGCAAAAATGAGATGCTGTGTTATATTTATACTTACTTTAGCTTGAGATATGAATAAGTATAAACTTACAGTGAATGTAGAATTTCTCTGAAAGGTTTTTGTTGCTCCCTTGTCATAGCTGAATCGAGACACATAAATATCCGAGCACCACTATATCGGAAATTTCCTTCAGTTATACTCTAGAAGAATGATATCAATTATAAATAGTAATAATATAAAATAGTATAAATACTAGCAAAAGAAATAAATAAAAGTGTTACATACTTGTACTATTACAACATCCATAATTTCTTGAAGTTGAGAAGGAGATTCGCAATAAAGCTTGATATTATTGAGAAGTGGTGGTACTAAGGATGCAAAACTTCCAGGATTCATAGTTAAATAATGCATCACACTACCTAACTGTTGCATTGTATTAGCCAAATTTAGTTCCTGATTATCTAGCCGTAACTCCTAATGAAAACAATTTAAGATAAAAATAACATAATAACATAAAAACTTATGACAACATTCTGATAACAAAGCAAACCTGAAATCTATCTATACTATCACAAATATATATCATAACTTTCAATATTTTGTGTACACATATATTGATCAATATACGATCAATATGTTGTTAAGAAAATATCTGTGGCACCTGAACTCTTCTTATTTCTGGATCTTCCAGTTGTCGTTGTCGAGATGAGTATGTGGATTCAGAATAGTGATCATAATGTTGTCTGTCTATCATTTGTCTTTGTTGTAAATGTGTTTGACCCGGTAATTGATGCTGCATTTGATGAGGTAATTCTCTTGCTAATTGAATTCTATTTTGGACAGAATGTTTGGGCCACATCATTGACGACTGTTGTTGCTTTAGAAATGAATATTAAAACATACAAACAGAATCAGGAAAAAAATTGTAAGTGAATTAAAAAATTGTAAATTAATATTAATTGTAAATTATATATAAATATATTTTCATTTACCATAGGTACAACGTAACTCTGACATTTAGGAACAAATTCAGCAGCATGCACAGATAAAGTAGAATTTTCAACAATTCTATTCATAAATTCTTGTGATCTATTTTGTTCAGGGTAGTTTGTCAAAGTAGAACCTGTATAAATGTTTTCATTGAGAAGAGAAAACAACATTCATAAATATAATAATATGGATAAGAAACAAAGTATTTATATATTGTAATAGGAAACGAACCACCGACAGCTGGATGAGTATTACCGGTAAAATGAGGTCTTCTTAATGTTTGTCGTTCTTGAGTACTTTTTGGGATTGGCGCCCAAGAACCACGACCTCGTCCTCGACCGTTAGAACGTCTGTCCATATATGAATTACCACTTTCATCTTCACCAAAACGATTCATTTTGTTCTCTTTAAATTCTTTTTTTTTTTTTTTTTCTACTTTAAGGTTAACGGATCTAACCTTATTACGGCTTTAATTTATCTTAGTATCGGTAAAGTAATATACCAAACTTCAAGGTGTATAATTCATTTCTTCATTTCGATCGCCTAATACAAATTATTATAACACTTGATTTATGTATATTAATTCCGTTATATTTGATAAACGTGCATAGACTGACTAACAGAAGACCGCCAAATCGTTGCTGCGAAATACTAAAGACGACTATGTTCGTTATTAAACATTAAGGCGGACATTCTCGAGACAGCAATAAATACTTTTTCATTTAAGATAATACGTACGATAAGTTGAACGACTTTCTAATTATCATTAATGTTGAAAGATCATCGATAATCAACAATGATAATGTTTATATTTAAATATCAAGTATTACTAACATAAATATATGTAAACTGTATATGCTATTATAACTTGACCAAATATGTGACATATGTGGCATATATGTATATATGTATATAAGATGTATATAACAATAAGAACAAAACAATAAGTTCAATGAATATAAGATACAATTTTGTTAGATTTAAAAGCTTTTACACTTATTTTATCTTTTATTAATTTACCTTAGAAAAAAGAAATATAGTTTATTGTTATTCAAACAGCACGAACAAGAAACGAACAAGTACGTTGCAACTTATGCTTTTCTTATTTTGCTATAACTTACTGAAGCACTTGGAACTTGTAATCTATAGCAATGATTTATATACTGATGTATACTCACGTATATAACGTTATAATAAGAATGAAACTCGTTGAATGTCCATTTTATTGAATATGATACAGAGAAATAAAAATACTATTTAAAAGGATGAAAAAGTCTGAATAACATGATATGAAAAAGTAGAAAGTTTTACAAGAGGTCCCATGGTGTAATGGTTAGCACTCTGGACTTTGAATCCAGCGATCCGAGTTCAAATCTCGGTGGGACCTAAAGCAATCTTTTTTTTTTTACTTTGAATTAAAAAATAATTTATTAAAGTATCAATCAATGTCGATAATGTCAATGCACTCGTCAATAATTTATATTTTTACTGAATCGTTTGAAAGTTACCATAAATTTTTTAAATAAATGATATTATCTTATTTGTTTAGATCAAAATTACCAAATCCATTAATTAAAGTAAATGAAACTTAAAAAATGAGGCAACTTAGAGAGATTTAGTAAAAGAACACTAAAAATAAAATAATAAATAAAAGAAAAAGAAAAAAATAGAAATTTAAATGCAGCGCCAAAAAAAAGACCTATGATCAAATATTTCAAGAAAGGAATATGACTAACTGAATTTATGATCGTGTTAGTTCGACGTATTGTTCACCAGATGGCGCGATGACATTAGTGAAGAAGGGGGGAATACTTATATATAGTATTAATATAATATAAATTATTAAAATTATTATGCTTGTTCAGCAGACTGATATTAATTCGAATTTTCATTAGTGTACGTTATTTATCGTAAAAGTATCCAATTTTGATTGAAACGGAACTGCATTCTCAATTTTGGTGTCGTCCCAGTGTACCCAAAACGTTTGTACAAGAATTTATATCGCTTTAAATTTTCTTTTCTTCCGGCATATAATTATTATATTTTCTTCTTTCTTTATTCCCTTACGAATGGTGAACAAAAAAACTGATCTATTATCAAATGTATTTTTTCAATTTATTAATAAGAACAATTTAAAGAAATTAGTTTTCTCTTCGTACAACAAATGAAAGAAGTTGTCATCGATGATAGTCCGATAGTAGTGCATACATATATCCATATATCCATATGTATATATATATGTATATAGAAGATGGAAATCTCATTATCAATGGCTATTGCAGAAAGAATTAAAAATCTCACATCTCGCTGGTAATGCGAGATAAAGTATTTCTAAATTCAAACGTAAAATTCAAGATGGAAAGGGGGTTCCTAACTGCTCAAGCCTGGTTGGAGAGAATTCAGAAATCAGGCAGAAAGCGCGATGGATAGTCGGCGTTATTGAGGTTGTCGATGGAAATGCAAATGGCTGTCATCATGATGTAGTTTGGTTGATATTTTTTCTTCCTTTAAGAGACTGAAACAATTCGCGAAAATGTTATATATCCTTAGAACACGATATTTGTAATGGCGCTACGGATGAAGATTAAGCTTGCGGTTTATGTGTGCGTGAATTAAAGGCGGGGTAAGTGTACAAAGTACGCGGGAAAACCTTCCTCATGGCTACATACCTCCAGTTAAACTCATCCGGTAACCGCTTCGAAGTACGTAAGCGCAATTAATTAGCAATTAATCGATGATACGTGTTTCTTTCTATACGTAATCAGTTAACATTAATAAATCTAAGGTATTTACCATTAAATTACCTATTATAGTCACTTATACTTATCGTATTACATTGATTATCACGAACAGAAGATAAACAATACTGTGCTCATCGTGTCGCGTGCTTTCATGGTTAATAACACCATGAAAGCGTTATTTAATTCATTTAAATGTGTATATTTATTTGTTTAAGTAGTTTCATTGCCATTGTTCGGAGATTAAATTTTTTTCTATCATCGCGTCGATAATTATTGTTGCGTGATTGTTCGAAGGAAACGTGCACGTGTTTCTTCAACCGATTTGATATTTCTTATTTCTCGTTGCGGTTGTAAATATGAATATTCGAAGTGTTTAAAAAAAAAAAAAAAATTGAAACCAGAATATATATTATAATGTTAATAAGGTTCGATTAAGTTAATATAATTAATGTATCATGAGTTAGTGAATTACTTGAAAGTTGAGTTAACCTTTTTAGTGTAGATTTTGTATATTAGTGAATGTAACAATATATTTATGAAACATTTAAAAAATATACCGTAAGAAGTGTAAAAACTTATTAAAGTAATCTCTAATTGTAAAGCTGAGTAAATGAAAACCAGTCATCTTGATAAGATAACGTTAATGATAATAATACTTATTTGATCTTTTAAATATAATAAAATATCATTTGGAATTCATATTAATTTCTTTTGAAAAATGAATGGATTAGTTCCAATAGATTTTCATGTCAGTATCTTGATATTTTTGTATATATTTATTTTACAGGAGTTTATCAAGCAATAGAGAATAAGTAGTAATAGCGATAGTTATGCCAGCTGTAAGTGTTTGCGATCCTGTTGCGGCAACACTTCGCCGTACTCTAGAAGCTAGCCAAAAGAAAGGAACAGATGAGCTATCTACAAATTTAATTACTAGCGCATCAAGAATACTTCAGTCAGAAATTCAATATAAAGAAGTAGATGATTATCAGACAACAATTTTGGATAAACTTAAAGCTAAATATATTGTTTTGAGTTTAACCAAATCTGATAAAATAGAGGATACTAAATCTAAAGATGGTACAACGTATGTAAAAAAAAACGAAGGTATGAGTGAAGGTCCTACGTTGCCAGAACCAGCCGTTACTTTGTATTGCTCTAAGAAAGTTAATCTAGGATGGAGAAAATCATTTCCAGTAGGAGCTGGCATGTATAATGTTGGAAATACTTGCTATTTGAATAGTACACTTCAGGCATTATTTCATGTGCCAGCACTTGTAAATTGGTTATTATCGGATTCACATCATAACTCCAAATGTGAACAAAACGGTGAGTACTTAATGTATTATTGTATTAATATTGAAAACTATATTTTCCATTATTACGGTGGGACATGTAAAGCTTTTAAAGAAGTCTTAATACCACTGTTTTGAATGGTGTTTTGATAATAGGATAGTTTTAGATGAAGGTGGAGAGTGCCTTACTTGCGCAGTGGCCAAGACTCTACAATTCAGTCACCAGAAGTCAGGAGGCAACATCAAACCATTCTGTATATATAATAAGTTAAAACGTAAATATATTGATTTATAAAAAACTATACTTATATAAGATTACTAATCAACATTATATGATGATGGTGATGATGATGATGATGATGATGATGATGATGATGATGTATAGTAATTTTGATAATTTTGATAATTGTAGTTATCTGTCGAACTATGGTACCAGGACAACAAGAAGATGCTCATGAATTTCTACGTTATTTATTAGAAGGAATGGAAAGAGCTTATTTAACAAGGCGCAAAGCAGGAAAGTTGGACAATTATTCTAAAGAAACAACACCTATCAATCAAATATTTGGTGGTTATATACGCACTGAAGTTAAGTGCTTACAATGTGGACACGTTTCTACTACATTTCAACATTTTCAGGTAAGAAAACAATTACACGTTAATTAAATCAATTAAATGCAGCAGCAAATTATTTGAAGAAATATTATAAAGAGAATTTTCTTAATATTATATAGGATTTATTGGTTGATATACGTAAAGCAAGTACATTAGACGAAGCATTAAATAGTTATTTTAGTCGAGAACAGTTGGATAATAACGATTATAAGTGTGAAGCTTGTAAAAGAAGAGTACCCGCGACTAAACAATTTAGTTTAGAACGAGCTCCTAAGGTTTTGTGTGTTCAACTGAAGAGATTTAGTGTCTTGGGAGGAAAAATATCTCGTCATATAGATTTTAGCCAGACAATAGATATGGGTCCTTACCTATGGAGAGAACCAAATGAACCTTTGCAACAACTCACATATAAGCTTATGTCACTTGTTACACATGTGGGTGAGTCAATAAATAGTGGACATTATACAGCAGTTGCACAAACCTCAACTGGTAATTACTATTCCTTTGATGATTCAAATGTAAGTACATAAACAAATGTTGCATCAATCCTAGATTGATAAGAAAATACGTAATTCTTTAGTAATATGTTTCTTTCTTTATTTCTAGGTTCGTCCAATTAGTCTTAGTAATGTATTAAATACAGATGCATATATAATGATATTTGAAATGGAACCTAATCAAGGACAAATAAATAATCAACAAGCTGTTAAAATGAATGGCATGTCATCTGAAAAAAGTGTATTATCTTCAAGTTCTTCTAGTAAGCCTGTTAATCCGAAGGCATCAACGTCTGACATATATAATGGATCAGTTAATGGTTCTCCTATTAATAAAAGTGGTATAGAAGGTTCAAAGATAGGTGAACAATTATCCGTTCAAAAAAACATAGAACTTCAGCTTCCTGTACAAAAGTTTACAAGTATCAGTGGAACACAGCTATCACAAAAGTCAGCAGAAAAATCTCAACCATGGCTATCAGGGCAATTTAAAAAAGTATTAAGTGGAAATAGTTTAGTACCATACGATGGTTCGAGCGAAGAAGAAGAAACTAATTCTTCTGTATCAAACAAAAATCGTGTAGTAACGAATGTTTCTGCATTGAAAATTAATTTTGCTCCTACTGTAGCTAATGGTGCACAGAAGGTATCTCAAGTAAAAGACTCATTACATAAAACAGTTCCTACCTCAAAAGAAATACAAATATTAACGGTGAAACAGTCTAATAATTCAACGTCTTCAAGTCTAAATAGTTCTGTTCAATGTACGAAAATACAAAATGTTTCTAATGGTGGTAACAATTCATCATTAACTTCTTTAAAACATCAAAATGGTAAATCAGAAATAAATGGTAAGACGGAAAATAGTAACAAGGAAAAGTCTTATCATCCAATTAAAATGAAAACAGGGCAGGAAGAAAAAGTACTTACTAAAGCTGCAAGTAGCAGTATAAAGGGTTGGGAAGTATCAAAAGATGCATTTCCTTCCATATCAAATTCAACCCCAAATGGATGGTCCGTGACTGATAACAAGTAATATATTTTCATTTGATTTATTTTTATTCATATATATTTATAATATTTATTTGATATATTTAATTGATGATTATATTTAAACGTACTTTTCAGAGAAGATTCAACTAAATGCAATCAAAGCAATACAACGCCAAGTGCTGCAGCATTAAGAAATTTCAATGGAACAAACCGTTCGGATACTGTCTCAAGTTTATTGAAAATGTCCCATCGTGGATATGGCGGCAGTTCTTTAGGTATTATTTATTATATCTGAAAATAATTAAGTGTCAATGATTGTAGTGTATTAATAAATTGAATGATTTCGTTGTTTTTATAGTAACAAATTGGCGTGGCAATAGATGTCATTTGGATCGTGAAGTTGATAATGAAAGACGAGAAGAACGTAAACGTCATATGAATCCAGACGATGAAGAAGCTGATCGAGGTCGAGTTAAAAAAGTTAAAGAACATAGAATGTGTGGTGATAGATTAGGTGGTACTGGATATAACGTATTCCAAGAATTTCAAAATGGAAAAACTTGGAGTCGATCAGTTAGCGGTTATAACCGAGAATCTTACTATGATACTTCCAATAATCCGCGACCACGACGTAATAGTAACTATAAGCATCCTCGTAATAGACACTACAGTAATTCTCACGTACGTTGGCCGCGTGGATAAAAGAAAGCAAAACAAGATCTATGAAATAGCCTCTAAAACATACTAATGTTAATGGGGAGCTATGGGTATTAGTTCGAAGTTATTGATCGATACACAGTTTTACTGTCTATTGAAAAAAAAAAAAAAAACTGTCAAAGCCTATGTCTCAGCGCTGATTTAGATTATTAATTCATAAAGTATCTCAGTGTCAGACATTATAATGTGGTTCATTTATTGCATTTTAACTCTTGCATGTTCCTAAAGAGTTTATAACGTGGTTTGATCCTTTTTTCTTTTCATTTTAAACATGWKWTWT